CTCTAGCAGTGGGTAGTGAACATGATCATATGTAATAGTGGGACAGCCTCAAAATTAGGACTTTTTAGGCTTTGAATGGTGGAAGCTGTAGAGGGAGGGAGCAGGGGATAGATCAGTTAGGACAGGCTCTGCATAAATATCCTTGCCCTTCATAACACTCTTTGCTACCGTGAGAGAGAGGTCTATCTGTTGTGCCCAGAGAAACACAGGCCTAGGCCCACCGCTGAGAGAGGCAGGGTGCTGGGATAAATGGACCTTTGGTCTGATCTGGTCTGGAACTTCTTGGGCACCTACACATGTACATCGAGGCTGCTCTGATGTGCTATAATTACACTGCGTCAGAGCAGATTCGATTAATTGAGTCTGCTGGAGCACGGTAATTATCACACTCTAGTAGACTCCAGCATCACAAGTGTCAGCATCCCTGTGCTGAAAAATGGTGGTGGAGGTGCTTTAACTAAAGCTCGTTCCATGCCCCCCACCTCCCAGAGCATGTGTACAAACACCCCTTACGTTTTTATACCGATGTAAAGACCTCCACACTGTGCAGTGTCGCTGAGGGAAGGGTATGGGTGGAATGGCTGTGCAGAAGAGTTTCTGTAACTCCTCTGTTCTGCTAGCCGTGAATAGGACAGGGCTCATTTTAGGAGGCTGGGACTGGAATCCAGGATTATGTGGTGCTAGTAATTCAAAGACCTCACAGAGAAAGGATGGGATTGCAACACTGAGGAGCACCTAAACAGACTGCTGTACTCGTTCTGCACGTTGGAGGAACAAGAGGGCTTTTGATTGTGTAGTGCAAGGGAGAGACACCCACAGCCATCATGCAGGTTGTGACCTGGCCTCCCACAGACACCATCCAACCTTTATGATTGTCCCTGAGGACAGCCTTCAAGTCCTCTCTAGTGGCTGCGAAGGAGCAGCACTCTGTGATCGCTCCGCAGATCGCATCCTAGTGCCTGATTTCTTGGGTTTGATTTGGGAAGGAGTGACCTTAATTTTCCTTGGTTGATGCAATGGCTAAAATAATAATGGTTTGGCTTGATGCTCTGATCCTGCATCACTGAAGTCAATAGGACTTTTGCCATAACAAGTATAAATCCCAGATGAGCAGTGATTGTGAGAACATGGACTCTGGGATTTAGAGAAATGAGTCCTATAGCTCACTCTGTGCCAGCTTGCTCTGAGACCTTGGGCAGGGAGTCCTAACTGGTATCCTCCTGTTCTTACCAGTAGGCAACACTACAAATACCCACAGCTGTTTGTTTTTTTGCACATCACTGATTACAGCCTAATATATTGCAAATCTGTTTTGCAGAGGTGAACCAATGAAGCGTGTTACAGGCTGTTGTCCTTGATAATAAAGCATTATAGGTAAGGGATATTATTTGCTATTTTATTTTACATGGAAATCCAGAGGAATTACTCCACTAAATTCATCATGTTCCACCTCTGTACCTGCAGGTCCTTTGGAAGATGGGTTCATACAAGCTAGCCATGGGTAAGGAGTCCTGATGTGAGCAGAGGCATGAATTTGCAAATATTGGCAGGGTTGGATATTAGTGCTTGCCCTCAGATCCTGGTTCTGGAAATCACATAATAATATCCTAGCTCCAGCCCACCATTATGACCATGAAGTCTCCTTAGGTGTGGGTGCAATGGCCCTATAAGATGGTGCTGGTATAAGCTAGGTGTAGGACTCTAGCTTGCCTTAATCCAGCCAGGTAGTCAGGAATACATAAGGCTCTAGAGATGCTTGGGAACCTCAGGACTTCTTTGTTGGTTTGGTGACATCCCTTGAGCTCTTCTCTTGCTCCGATGGGAGGCAGAGGAGGACATGACCTAATTATCACCACCTGAAGTCTGTAGAGTTTTCTGCTTATCACCCAAATAAAGTATTTTTCAAGGATAGGTACAACCTGTTTTGCAATGCTTTCTGTGGAGCCCCATAACCCGCTCTCCAGAGATTCCTTTGCCTGCTCATTCCAAGTGAAACGTGCAGTGGGCAGAGGGCAGCAGTAGTTTACTCAGCATTTACATTTCATGTTAGCTAGCAAAATAGGAGCTGCAGTGCCACCTAAACATGGAACATGCTGCACGGGTGTAATTCTTACCCCTAATACAGTCCTAAATGAAAACCCCTGGGACACCAGGGGACATGGGAGATTCTGGCCTTTGCAAGAACTGACAAAGCTGCACTGTAATATCCTTAAGTGCTCAAAGCTTTTTAATGCGGAAAACTGTGGTCTGTTGCTGTTGTTCAGAGTTAGGGATATAGGACTGGCAGGAGCCTCCTGGGCCTTTGAGTCCAGCCGCTGGCATTCACAGCCAGTCGCTCACCTGAGACAGTGGTACTCAATCTTTTTGCACTTGAGGCACCCCTCACTGGGCTTGCAGCACCCCTCCATGCCTTTTGTGAATTGAGCAGCACCCAGTTTCAAAAACTAAGTTCTACATTACAATGCTTGTCTCTTGGCAGAGGGGCTGGGCAGTGGGGGTGGGAGACTGGCCAGGCAGGGACTAGTCTTATCTGGTTCTCTCCTCACACCCTGCTTATTTCCTTGCACTTTTAAAGGATACCTTTTAAAGGATCCGGCTGTGCCCTGGTTGAGAATCACTGACCTAAGGAATCCCCTAAACACACCTTTAGATCCTCACTCACAACCACAAGCAACAATACTTGAAACAGTAAGAGCCACAGGTATAAGCAGGAGAGATGAGGGTATGGCCAATGTCCTGCACTGGAACAGAGAAATAATTAGGTACCATACACCCAGAAGATCATAGGAAAAGGATCATCCCCATGCTATGGAGGAAAGCCAATGCCTCTCATCATCTGAAGGAGAGAGGGTGATGCCTGTAGGGTTTGAATATGTGCCCATGTAGCACCAGAGGCCAAGGACTTCAAAGGGCTTTTGAAGCATTAAAGCCAAGGTCCCTTTCTCATAAAGAAGTTCACCTTGCCCTGTGGTAGCCTCAAAAATTTCAGTGGGCCTATTTGTGAAGTGAGGTGCTATTCAGTGTGTGAATAAGGGGACAGCAGATCAGAATCTGGCCTTAATCAATTAATGGCCTTAATAAATTAAGGCTCAAGATACTTGTCCCTGTATGAAAGACATAGGAATTATAATTTTCTTTTTACAGGGAGCATCTACATGAGGTGCTAAAAGTGCAGTAGGCTAATTCTACTGTGCATTAGTGTGTCACGGTGAAAGCGGTGCTAATTAGCATCACTTAAAAGACTCATGCCGGCACTAATGTGCAGCAGCATCAATTACTGCACATTAAGTTAGTACCTGTTATTGCAGGTACTCAACTGAATGCACTGTAATTATGGCACATTAATGCACATGTAGACATGCCCACTGAGGGGGAAATTGAGGAACAAAGGGCAAGTTGACATGTTTATTAATGAGCTGTAATTATGGTGCATTAAGTTTAATGACAGGTCCTAACTTAATGCACTGTAATTGGTGCTACTGTGCACTAGGGCAGATGAACAGGTTTTTTGTCATGCTACTGTGCATTACACTAAATCTGCTGTGCATTAACACATTAACATGGGCTTTGCCCGCCTCGCTAATGCACAATAGAATTAGCCTTCTGTGCAATAAGCATCTCATATAGACCCACCCAGACACCCAGACAGATTAAGGCCAATATTTGTACCATAGGCACTCAGTTTAGGTGTCTTAATGATGGGATCACCACTATGAGGCATCTTTAGCTCCCAGTGGAGTCAGAGTTAGTCAGCTCAGCACCTTAGAGAAATGAGGCCCCCATGGTCTCAAGACAGGCATTTAGACATGGATGCACCCAAATTTATAGCACATGTTTTTCCTTTGTGTCTGCATGAGGCTAGGGAGTGCATCACTAGTGCTTTCAGTATATTGATTCCTAGTGCCTTGCTTTAGCAGCAAAGCTGCATTTTTCACTGCAGGGAGTTAGGAGCATGAGCAACTTCCACTGAACATCATGGGGTTTGAATACCTGAAGCGCCTTTCAGAAACCCAGGCTTGATGGAGCCTGACCTGTTTAAAACACCAGGAAGCAGTCCTTAATGTTAAATCCATGGATAATATCAGAAAGTCAGAGTGAAAAAGGCAGGATCTAGAGCTGTTTTTCAAATAGCTGGGGACAGATGGGGAACAAAGCTTCTGGTTCTATAGCTGATCCTGTAGAGCAGGCATCAAAGCTTTCAGTGGCTAACATTCACTCCCATACAGGCAGCCAGCACAAGGTCTTTGGATGCCTTTAATCTCTAGGTATGAGTCACTGCATGCGGTAGGAAGGCCTTCAACCCTCAGATTAATTTTTATTATTATTAGAAAATCATAACTTTTTTTTCACCACGAGGGGGTAACCCCTTATACGTTTCATAATAATGAGGTTATATTTTTCACTGAACTCATGTTACATTGATTTTTCCTTAGAAACCACAGCACAGACAGCGTTTTTAAATGTAGCATGTTGCACTAAGATGATTAAATCCACATTTAAGCCTCTGCTGAGTGAAAGGACTCGATTTTCACAGATGCTGAGAGACCCACAAGTCCCCCTGACTGGTGGATTTGCTCAGGTTGTATACTGGTGTGAGTGAGGTTGAAATCAGACCCTTTGTATGTAGCATAAGAGCAAGCTGTCAGATCTGGCAGCATATGGCCAAAAACTGCTTGACACCTAGGGTACTCTGATGCAGTGGTCTGAATAATAATACCCCACAGCTCCTTGTATTGTGGTGGATCCAGACTAGTCCTGCAGTCCCCACACATGTGAACCGATCCAATGATGTCAGTGGGACTGTCAACATGGGGAAAAGGCTGCAGAACAGACTGCAAACGGGGCAGGGGGGGACATGTTAGGCAAAGATCCTCCTCCCCGCAACTGTTGTCTGAAAAGTGCCATGGGATATTAGTGTCCCTTCACTGGAGGCCAGTGACTCATCCTGTACCCCTAGCCCAGCTCCCCATAGTAAACTGCATGACACTCAGTTCATGTACTTCACCTGAGTTCACTTTATTTTGATCATCACATTAAAAACACAGTGAGAAAACAGATGCCTTTTCACTCGTTCCATTTATTTATGAATTTTTCATACTTGACACATGATAAGAGCAGGAAACAGTGTTAGGCAATAGGGCGAGAGGAGGCAGGGTGGCCCAGTTATATGGTATAATTAGCAAGGGGTGAGGCAGGGCGGGAGGTCATGAAGATCTCCATCATCATATACTGGGATGGAAACAAATGGAAAAGAAGGATAGTTTCATAAAGAAAGCATAAGAAAGGCTGCCAGAAGGAAACAGGGACCCTCCCCTGCTGTCCTCCTACTGCAAACACTCGGACCTCTTGAAACTCTTCACAAGAGGTGTCTTCAAGGTTTCGTGTGTCACCTCACAGGTGTAGACTTCGTGCGCGTTGTATTCGGAGGCTGTGCGCGTCAGGGTGCTGCTCACGCTGTACGTGTTGTCAGCAGCATCCTGTTTCTTGTCACTGGTGAGGACACCAGTGCTAGTGGCGGTGCCGTCTACCTTCCAGGTGATGGTCAAAGCACTTGGATAGAAGCCACTGACCAGGCACACGATGGTGGCAGTTCCCCCTTTAAGCTGCTCAGCTGACGGAGGAAAGATGGATGCTGAAGGTTGAGCATTTTCTCTGCCTGTAGAAAAGGGAAGTACATAGTGTGGTATTAGTGATGACAGCCCACGCGTGAATAGGCCATAGTGCTGTGCCTGCCGCACTTCACACACATGAGGTCAAAACCTTCGTGCTCTGTTTATAGGATTAGTTCCTTGATGAGTCACTGAGACCAGACAGGTGCAGTCCATCAACTAATTCACCTTCAAAATGCCCCTATTTATTTCCATTTTCGATAAGGGGAGACAAGGGCACAGAAAGATGAAGAGACCTGCCCAAAGATGGAGCAAGTTAATGGCAGATCCCACAGGAGGCTACAGAGGCTGTCACCCTCTGTAGACCACCCAAAAATCAATGTAGACCACCAAATATATCAATTTAGACCACCCAATATATCAGTTCTGTTGTAAGTAAATACAGGGCCAGAGCCTCAGGCAGTATAAGTCAGCCTAGCTCCCTGGCCTGCATCATGTTATATGGCTGAGGATCTGCCTCATAATATCCAGCCTCACCTTTCTTGCCACTGTGATTTTGTTGGCACTGCATGAGAGGAAGTTGATGAACCCAGTCCCGGTAAAAGGTACTGGCTCGCTTATCTTTAAGGGTCCTGCAATGCCTGGAAAGGGCACCACTGCGAGATGCCAGCAGGACACCTCTGGGTGCTGGCATTTCATTGATACGTGGACAAGGTACAGTTCAGAAAGCAACACCAGTGCAAGTCCCCCCCCATCTCCACCCAAGCCGTTTCTCTGTTCTGAGCTAGAGGATGCTGTTAGGAAGGAAAGAAGGTACTTCACATTCAACTGCCAGTCACTCTCCTGAGACTGCCAGACGGGTGCTAACGGATGCTATGCACATTGCAATACAAATGCCCCTTTCCACTGAGCGCTTCATTGAACTCTAGTGACCATAGAGTGACATCTTGGCCCGTTGAAGTCAATATGAGTTTTGCCATTGACGTCACTGGGACAGGATTTCACTCCAGACATGCTGCCTGCCCCCTGAGCTGTGCTATCCCTTAAAGTCTCTTTCCAGGGGTGCTGAGCACACTTCCCTCCAGCTGAAGTCAATTGGAGAGGCAAGCGCTTGGTGCTTTTAAAATAAGAGACCAGTCCTCCTCTCTCCTCACCAGTGGGATTCAATGATCTTGGCTGTTACTCCCAAACTATGCTGGGGGAAGGGAGGGGAGAATCAGGTTCAGACCCTTAGTGTTTTATTAACATTTCTCCTGTTGAAGCGCTCATATCAAGACATGAAACCTGTTATTTAAAAATAGCAAAATGAAGCAGTCTGCAATCAGGGACAGATGTCAACTGAGAGCGTGGTCACACTTAGTCTAGCTGCTTTGAGCATTGTTGTCCCTCACTTTATGCCACGTAATCACTACATGAGCCAAATTGGGATCTTGGTACAATGAAGTCCCTGGGAAGAGACCTAGCTGAGTGCACCCGTACCGAGACTCTTGGGGAGTAAGGACCTGGCCCTGAAGACTTTATCCAGACAAGACCCCCACTGATTTTGGAGGCAGTTTTGTCTGAACAAATCTTGCAACTTTGGGTCCTAACTCAGTAAAGAGCTGAAGAAAGGAATAGATAGATCACATCTTTGGAACCTGGAATAAAACTATTTCATTCATCCTCCTACTCTTCTGCTATACAGTCTAACTGCCGTCAGTCTGAAGTGCTACATTCTCACAGAATCAGCATTCAGATATTTTTAAGTGTCTTACGCTACCAGAAATAAAACTTTTTACATACAAAATACGTATGCCCCCTAATTTAGCAGATATACTACCTTTTTATAGCTTGTAGACCTAATTTCTTCATTAAACCAATGCCACACTACTATAACTCCACAAATGTCAGAGGTAAAGTGGGGTGACTGACACCAGTCAAAGAGGAGAATTGCATTCTCTCTATATATTTATACACTATATAAAATAGGCTATCACATCTATACGACATATGAAGCTAAAACAGATTTGCAAACATTTTCTGCTAAAAATAATATATGGACTAAAAGGCATTTACAAATATTTGCAAGCAGGCATTTTAAAAGGAAAAAAAAGATCATTTTGGATTATCTCCTACTACAGTTTTATCAAAGTAACAAGAGAACTGCTTTTTCTTAATGTTCGCTAGAACAGCTCAAAATAAGTACAGCTTTAACTGCAATTAAAACTGCAAAAGTCTTGCCTAAGGTAATCAATAAAGCAAAAGTTTTAAATATATGAGCCCATCACATTTTTCTGTTAGCAGAATTTTTAGGGCAGATATCAGATTTCTCCTGTGACAAAATGCAATGAAGTATATTGCATTTCCAATCTACTGTTTTGCTGCTAAATGAAGACGATTCAGCCAGACTCTGCCATACTTTAACTGCCGAGTATCTTACATTTTCCTCCTGATAGCCTGCTTGTCATGGTGGTTTACAGTTAACTTAGTTTATTACAGGAAAATTATTATTTTAAAATGAATGTTTGTCTGTTCATTAGGGAGGTTTTTAGTATTTTCCTTTTCTTAAACTTGATATTTGACAGCTTCTACCTCATCTGATCTACTTTATCAATCAAGTTCTGTCTTGCCCATTAAATTAGTTTTTAATATGCTAATCACTTTGGCATCTTGGCGCTCCACTTACATTATTTTAAAGGCAATTTCTAATTTCCCCTAATGGGATGTACTATTAAAATGCTGAAATAAACACAAATAATCCTGTATGAACTGATCCTACTCTTGTGAACTCATTGCAAGTATTTCCATTGACTTCATTTGGTGCTAGATCAAGACCTAGTTGATAATGTTAGTTTTTCTTTCACTGAAAATGTACAGATTAGAGGCAAGAACTGAATTGTTACTAATAGTAACAATTTTGGGTCCTCAGATGAAGACCCAGGATTGACACTCTCACTAACCAACAATTCAGTCATCATATTCTCATTTTTTAATTAAATTACCCTTTTCTACAAACATTTCCAGTTAGTTATTATTTCTCACAATTAAAGGTTAGAGTTTTACTACTAGTTACTGGAAGTGGGGCAGGTGGGCAAAGAAAGGGACAAAGGGAAGAAGAGCATTTTTCTATATCTGTGCATTAAATTAGATAAAATCAAAGCGAGAGAGGATTTATCACAAATAAAATGCACTTACGTTTTATCTCCAGCTTGGTCCCTTTGCCAAAAGTGACCCACAGTGCCTAACTATGACCTTCCTCTTTAACAGAAACCTTTTTACTGTATAACTACAGGAGGGCTCAAACATATTGTATGTCAAATATAATAGTTTAATCCAAATTCTCACAAGAGAAGTGGCGGTATTTTCCACGTCTGAAGGTGGATATACTTTGTACACACTTACACTGTCTGCCATCCTGCTAGCGCTCCTATTTCACGCAGTCCTGACACACACAATAATTTTGGAAATGGACAAATTTGATAAAGAGAAGCCGAAGACAGTTAAAAAATGCACTTACGTTTTATCTCCAGCTTGGTCCCCTTGCCGAAAGTGAGCCACAGTGGCTGCCTATGAACTTCCTCTCATACAGAAACCTTTTTGTTGTACAACTAAGGGATCTCTCATTTATGTAATATGTAATAGTTTAATCCAAATTCTACAGCGGTCAGTGGAGGTAGTCGTCCACCCTCGAGGACAGGTATATTCCTTACGTATCTACATTGCCTGCCATTCTCTCAGAGCTCTCATTTCAAGAAGTACCAACTCAGAAAAAAGTCACGGAAATGGACAAATTTGACAGAGAGAAGCTGAAGAGAGTTTAAGAATGCACTTACGTTTTATCTCCAGCTTGGTCCCCTTGCCGAAAGTGAACCACAGTGGTTGCCTATGAACTTCCTCTCATACAGAAACTTATTTTCTGTGCAACTAAATGAGCCCCCTTGGATTAATTTGCCTCAAATGTAGCAATTTAGCTTTACAAATTTTGCTTGAGGAGGTGACAGTATTTTCTATCCTTGAGGATTGATTTATATTAGACATTTCACTTTCCTTACCCTTCTCCTCTCTGGTAAGTCTTTTGACATTATTCCACCAATGCCACCAAAACACACAAAACTTGCAAAAATGGACAAATGCGACAAGCAAGGATGAAGAGCAGGGAAGAAAGGTACTTACGTTTGATTTCCACTCGGGTCCCCTTGCCGAAAGTGTACCACAGTGGTTGCCTATGAACTTCCTGTCATACAAAAACCTATTTTCTGTGCAACTAAATGAGCCCCCTTGGATTAATTTGCCTCAAATGTAGCAATTTAGCTTTACAAATTTTGCTTGAGGAGGTGACAGTATTTTCTATCCTTGAAGTCTGATTTATATTACATGTTTCACTTTCCTTACCCTTCTCCTCTCTGGTAAGTCTTTTGACATTATTCCACCAATGCCACCAAAACACACAAAACTTGCAAAAATGGACAAATGCGACAAGCAAGGATGAAGAGCAGGGAAGAAAGGTACTTACGTTTGATTTCCACTCGGGTCCCCTTGCCGAAAGTGT